CCAGAACCACCTCCGTAACCTCCTTCAATGCTACCACCACCTCCATAGCCTCCAGCGTCGCTGGCACTTCCGTAATCTCCTCCAGCGCTGCCACCTCCATAGCCTCCTCCGATGCTACCTCCCCCATAGCCACCTCCGCCACCGCCTCCATAGCCACCTCCGCCTCCGCCTCCATATCCTCCGCCAGTCTCAAGCGTGACGGACGGTCTGTAGTTGTAGGTGGTTTTGCTAACCGTCTTTCCGACTTGTTTCCCCAAGTATTCGTCGCCGCCGTTCTTTGCGGGACCGGACTTTATGCCACTAGAGGATGAAGTCCTGTGGACGTAACCTCCACCGCCTCCTCCGTAACCACCTCCTCCGCCTCCGATTGCACCACCTGCACCTCCGCCTCCGTATCCGCCACCTCCTCCGCCTCCGTAGGCACCACCTGCACCTCCGCCACCATATCCGGAGTCTCTCTTCGTCACCTTGCTTTCTTCTGCTAGAGTCAGTGCTATGAGCACCGACAATACCTGGGGTGAAAAGAAGAACTCTCATCGTCACGGGTCGTGCAACTGAAGGCGTTTATTTCCGAGACTAACGAGATATCCGCATGAAGAGATTCCAGCGGAGAAGGCCACTAACGGTATCAACGTGCGACGTTGAAGCTACCGTAAAGAACAGAGAAGTACGAGATTTAAAAAATATCTCCTGCTCGCGTTCATCGTAGCTCTCCAAGAAGAATCTCTCTCGTAAAACTAAAGCGAACGGAAGTCGGCCACTCACCACGAACTTGTTCATGTCGAGACGGGACAGGAGCGGCAAGCTTGGGCACTCACGAGAACAACGGGTGAGAAAACACGTGGCGAAGAACCGTGCGGGTTTTTATATGGGAGGACCGGACCTCCCCCTCCGGGTCGATTGTGCCCCGTCCAACGCCGGCAGAGGTCCCTTCTCCCCGCGTATAGCATTCACTCCCTTTCACATTTCTCTGTGTCACCCACCCTCCTCCTCCTCCTCTTTCTCCTCCTCCTCCTCCTCCTTCTCCTTCTCCTCCTCCTCCTCCCCTTGCCGGACGTTCGAGTCCCATTCGCGATTGAGCAAGACAATACGGCGACGCTTTACCGCGGAACAAATAAGGCGACCGGAATCCCGAAGAAAGGGAAGCGCATAACGGATGCCGATGCCGCGCATTGTGCAACGCTCGATATCATCTCGGGATATCCGTGTCCGACTGTCGAATACGTGCCAGAGAGAGTGCACGACCCAGAAATATCGACCATTGTCGCCAGGTCCTTTCGCGCATTAATTGTCGCCCGGAAATCTCGGGTTCCGTCGGCGGGAACGACGCCCAATTAAGGCCGGCTCTCGTCACCGTCATTTTTTTTCTGCACAAATCGCCCAGCTGGACATTTAAATAAAATAAATAATGAATAAAGCTTCGGCGGGACGGATCTCTCCGGTTTGCCAGGAGTAAAAGGGCCTTGACAGTTCCTCCCGAATTCAATTCAGCAATTCAATTCAATTCAGCAATTCGGCGATTCTCGATCTGAATAAAATTCATGAGAAAAAGCCTCAGAAAATACAGAGGAAAAAAACGGAAACGATCCGTGAGAGAATCGTTATAGATGATAAAATCACAGTAAAATCTCTGCGACATCCGTAAATTTGCCCATCGATTTGCCCTTTACAGCGATTTTTTTCCGCCAAGTAAAGGCCACACAAGCAGCATTGACTCACGACCGTCTCGTAAACAAGTGCAACAAGCTTCTCTTTATTTCTGTCACGAAGAACATCGATTTCGGAATCGGACGAGGAGATTGTCGACACAAGGAACGGCCGAGTCGACCCCGAAACCGACCGGTTGTGACATCGACCGGCATTCCTCTTCGAAATCGGCTTTCGAAATCGCGCCGGGGCGGAGGCGGATCGGCGACGTTTCGTCAGTTTGCCAAAAAAAAAAGGTCACAATTTTTTTTTTCCTTGTCCGGAAGAGTTTGCAATCGTGACTGCCATTTCAAATGGCAAATCATTTTTATTTTTCTCTCCAAATAAAAATAAAATAAATAAATGAATGAAATAATTTTTTCCCGACGAACCAGCACGTTTCAATTTTGATTTTCGGGAGAAAAATTCATCTTCGCTGATTCAAACTTTTTTTTTTCCGTCGAAATTTTTTGCACGAATTATTGGCAAGCCAAATGCCGGCACCAATCGGCTATTTAGGAGGGATTCATCAGGAAGAAAGGGTAAAAATGAGGGAATTGAGAGAAAATTCACCATCCATTGTAAAAGATCAGGAGAAATCCAGAAATAATGGAAAATATTGTAATGGATCTGTAATATCGTAATGGGAACTGGTGACAATTTTCACGTTTCGGTGGTGCCAAAATTCATTATTCATGCTTCAAAAATTAACTTACCGTTAAGTTCGAGCGAAATTTTACATTTTACGAATTTTACTTAAAGTTGCGGGATAAAAATCGAATTTGGCACGAATACGCGGCGAATCTGCAGACGGGATTGCAACAAAATTGAACGGCTGCAGCAAAAAAAAAAAAATCCCGAAAAAGTGCCCGCGACTGCATGCAGCCACGCGTGGGAGTTTTCCTGGAAGAAACGTGAAAACTCGCCGGCAATTTAATTTCCTGCACGAACGAATGAATGGATCCACCGCGATTTCTCACGGCGTTGCGCAACCCGGCGGATGATTGGACCGGCCGGAGTGGGCGGAGCAGGAGGAGGAACGGAGAGAACGCCGTTCGCCTTGTTCCGGATTTTCCCCGGGTTCAGGGGGGGCAGGGGGGGCAGGGGGGGGGGGGGCTGGGGAAGTCTCGTCCCAAGAAGCAAAACATAGCCATAAATAAATGTTATTTAATCTATTTAATCTATTTAATCTATTTAATCTATTTAATCTATTTAATCTATTTAATCTATTTAATCTATTTAATCTATTTAATCTATTTAATCTATTTAATCTATTTAATCTATTTAATCTATTTAATCTTCCCTTAAAGACATGGCACCTTTCGGGGAACAGATTGAGTTCGCGGACTCTCTTATCATTGTTCTTCATCTCAGGAAATAAATCATTCCGTCACTGGAAAGGGTTCTGAAAGGAAACACGAACTCGTTTTCGGCCTGGGCTCCATCAATCTGTCTGGAAATGGGATTTAAAAAAAAAATTTAAGAGTCCGTGTTCGTTCGTTCATGCGATGAGACTAGCCGAGACATGTGGCTAAGTACTGAACTGAGTACTAAACTGTAATAAGCAAGTACTGAACTGAGTACTAAACTGTAATAAGCAAGTACTGAACTGAGTACTAAACTGTAACAAGCAAGTACTAGACTGAGTCCTATCGAGGACAACTATACGATTCCTTATAAAACTTCGAAGTGTGGATCGCATCGGAATGTTGTCGATGTCGACATTCTCTTTCGATATCGGTCGCAAATGTTGCAATAACGATAAGTGTCTCGTCAACTTCCCAAAAGTCGAAGCGATGTTTTTCATCGACTTGCAACGTCGGCAACGCTCCGGCGACACGCCGGGTTGCTCGCGAGGAAAATATTTTTTTTGCGCTCGCGTGAAGCAAAATATCGTGAGAAGGCAAAAAAAAAAAATCCTACAATTTTTGGGGTAATCGGCCACTGATGCGAATTAATGGGGAATGGCGCATGCACGCAGATCACGACGAAATCGTTCGTGCCAATTTTTCGCAACATACTCACGAGAACGACGAAAGGAACTCATTCGCAGAACAGGATCAATTCCAGCCCTGTCTCCAAAATTTAAATTCCAATCCCAATTCACAATTCTTCCTCTCCCCCACCGATTTTCCGACCAAATTACCACGAAAAAACTTGCCGACCCCGACCTCGATAAAATAAAATAAATAAAAAATTCTAAACCGATGCAACGAGGAATCCTCGCGCGTCGGCCAACCGCTTCTAACGGGCTGGCTCGACAGCAAACATGCATAATGCATGCTTCATCGTCCTCGATGGCATTTGGTGCAGTGGGAGACGCATGTGAATGAAGATCGCGAGCATCGAAATCGTTTTTATCGTATTTTATTGTGTCGGGATCGGCACGAAGGAAAGAATAATGCGTCATCTCGCGGAGATGAAGATGCTGCCATGAGAAGTACCGGGTACCCGGTACCGATCGAGGCTGGACAGTGGAGCCCTTCGCGGGTCAGAAGGTTGTAGAGCCCTCCGTGGGCCGGGGGGCTCTTCGACTCGCTTTTGAGTCGAAATGAACTTTTATCGCTCGGTCGCGTTGGGTGGCGATTCTCGTTGAAATTTTTTGCACGATTTTAAGACTTCCGGGGTAGCTGATGGGTCCACTGTCAATGGTCCACCGGTGGTCCGGTGTTGAAAGTCAATGGGCTGGGAGTGCGGCGGGGGTCATGCCGTTCACGGGCTGCGATCAGCATAATGAGGTTGCTTGTCTCGTCTCGACGACTTGTAAAGAGGTTTGAGACGGTCTTCGACCGGAAAGCGGGACTGGCCGGGGTTTCCGCCGTTTCTATTCCGTGAAAAGGGAGTTTCATCGCGCAAAAAATTAGCAAATTCCGAATCAGCCTTCATGATGTTATGATAATGAATTGCTTATCAGCTTTGTAGGCGGCTGCTTTGGCTTAAGTTCATTTCAGACCTAATGCACATGAAAATGCTCATGCCTAGAATTGGCCGTTTTCGAGCCTTATGGTTGCAGGTAATTCAGTCCCGGAGGAGAAACAGCGGGAAGAACGACGCCGAGAAATACGCGGAACTCCTTACGAATTAAAAAAAAAAAAACGAATCGCGAATAGCCTGGAAGCGGGTGGAGGGTAGTGGAGGGTAGTGCCGGGTAGTGGAGGGTAGTGCTGGGTAGGCGGGAGATACTTTTCCTACTTTCGTGGGGCGCAGTACCTCACCTCTTCAGTACGATTACATGTTCGAGTTTCACCTTTTAGGTTGCATCCCAGACAGGGGCCGATGCGAACCTGTTCAAAGCAGTGGTGGCTGTGCCACGGTGTTGAATTATACTCGCAAAATCCCGATTTTCCCATTAAAATGTTCAAATTTGACGAATCAAAGGGAAATATTAACGACTTCAAATACAACTTATCTAGTGAAACTGAAAAAAACATTAAGATTACTTGCTCAAACGTGACCATAAAGAACGCGCTCATTGAAATGATATTGCTTAACCACAATCAAGCAAGAAGTAGACCGTTACGGTGAACTCTCATTGTTCTCCTCGTTCTCCTCCAAGTGAGCCACACTTCTTCCAACGAAGGAATGCCGATTGTGATTATTGCTACGGGATTAAAGCTTGCTGCTTGGTCTCTGGAGGTGTTTCTTTAGATCCCTGCCTTCCGCCTGATGCCAAAAAAATTACATGATGATAATCGTATTCATTTCCGTTAATTGACGCTCTCACGACTTAGCAATCAAAGCTCGTCTTGAACGTCCTTGGGATGAATCTGCCGGCCACTTCGAGAATAGAGACATCTATGGACTCTGAATAGAAGATACGTTGTGCGTCGATCCATAGATGCCAGGAGTGTAAGAAACCAAGGTGGCAGCTCGCATGCGGTCATAGCTACTCGTGCATGGCCTGCATCAACTCCGCTCATATTGGCTCTTATTTGTACAAAGGAAGGTCAAACCGCACATAAGTGGTCAAGTTAAAGTTTCGATCTCTGATTCTCTGTGATCCGATTCGGCCTAGCCATTCCCCCCACCAGAATTGATGCGGCGCTGGATTCTGTGAATCTTAGACCATATGAAAGTGTCATATATAATTTGGTACAAGCTAATAAGTTTGGCATGAGGCAATCATTGTGTACAGGGAGCCCACGGTATTATACTTATTGAGAGATAACAGGTAGAGTGTATTTTGAGCAGCGTTGTAAAGACGTTGTGATTCTTAATTGGTTGTAAGCTAGACCCTGGCAGGCTACCATGATGTTGAAATCTCAATTCTTAGGCTATTCCAGAAAAAAATAAAGTGGAGTAATTAGGCCTAATTATTTTTCAATAACATCGTTGTGGTAAATAGGGTTTTGATCTTTTTGCAGTGAAGAAGCTGACCAGGGCAGAGGTACAGCTGATCTTGTTCATTAGTCTGCCTGCATTTGTTTGGAATCCCTTTTACAGACTTATTTTGACAAGCCTCAACAGCATCATGTCATCTCTTGCTCAGAAACCTGGCCGTCTAAGGCTCTCCAAGAACTTGCTGCAGATGAAAGTAAGCCTATGCCTCTTCTACCTTATACTTTTTTTTTTAACCCATTAGCATTGGAATTATTACATCGTTTGCAAGCCATACTTTAGCATTTGTTTTGAAAAATAATCATTACTTTAAAAAGTGCAATGTCCTATATACATGTGCCCAACTGAAAATTTTTTTAATTGTAAAATATAGATACAAGATGTTCCCCTAGTTCTATAGTATGGCCTGGTAGTGATACTATGAGACGGTCTTGTAGATCAATGCCAATGAGTTAAGTGGAGCCTGATTTATAATACTTCACGAGAATGGCTGTCTTTCTTTTGCAGTTTATGCAGCGGGCACATGAGAAAATCATCCAGGAGGATGAAGAGGAAGAAAGAGAAGCTTTGTATGGGTCAGAGATGACAAAACGAATGAGGGAACAAGGGTGAGGATAAAACAGGCCAATGGCTACTTGCCATGGAAGCCAGAGGGTGACCAATTCTAAAAGTTTGAAATCCCTTTTTTTACTAACCTTGCTGGATATTCCTGGGAAATAGGATCAAGACAAGATCAGAACCTAGCTGGTTGGTCGTCAATTCGCTGCACTTTGGTCGAGTGTCGTTTGGTGGCTTCAACCCTGAAGTTGAGAAGGAGATGGAGGAAGAGAAGCAGCGTCGAGCAAAACGGACTAGAGAATTGGACTCTGGAAAGAAAATGGACACAGATGTGAGTGACAAGGACATGACATCCTTCTATTTGACCATGGCCAAGAAATTCTCCAAGAAGCGTGACAGAAGTACCCTAACTCCTGGGTATTCCCCTCAAAGGAAGAAGCCTATGTTAAAGCCACAGACATCATAGTACAAGTCCACAAATCATGTGCCCATTTTGTGATTTGTGTGCCCATTTCTCCAATACAGTGATCTGTGATGCTGCCTATGATGATCTTGATTTTGACCTGAATTTGTCATTTACTAGGCCATTTTCTTCAATGTCATGGGCTTATCAAAGGGAGGATTCTGTGGGTCATTACCCCCCTTGACATGAGTTGATATGAAAAAATGTTGCCTTGAGACATTGTCTGACCTGGTTCATCTAGCAGCCCAATCCACTCACATATCTGAACCATGGAATGTGAGAAGTCTGGATAACCCATATCAGCTACATACATGTAGGTATAGTGATAGCATTTCTGAGAGAAGGACAGCATAAGTGCTTATGTTCATATCAGCAGTTACAAGAAATGAACATTGCAGTGTAGGTGATTGAAAACCAAGAAAAAGGCATGAAGTTTCTGGTTTTTACATATAATGAAAAGTGGAGAAATTTATTTTATGGCTTAATCAGCAGTTCATGATCAAAGAAATTAGTGGCAAGTATTACCTGATTTAAAAACCTGCAAGTGTGCAAAATACTTAATGAAGTTAATTGAGTTATGCTTTGATTAATTTAGACTGCTATCAGTCAAATGTTAATGGATTTTTGAGGTGAACTGAAGGTTTTTTGCCATGATAGGAGGGGAAAATATTCAGAACTTCATTTTCCCATCATAAAGCTTAATTCTTACATATAAGCCTTTTAACACCAGGTCTGGGAGGTTTTCAGACTCCCATTCCTGCCCTCAGTGACAGGTTTGGCAGAAAGGGACAGGTCTGTAATGTAAAAGAAAAAAAAATTATTACCAAGTTACTTTTATGAAATTTGGCACTGTTGTTTCTGCAAGCTTTATGACATGCAAAAACCATATGCTTATTATTGAACATACTGTTTCTGTGCATTGACATACATGAACAGTTTGTGTGGCAGTATATTTGCACCACACCCCTCTCTTCCCCCAGGAAAACATCCACCTGACATTTACAGTTTCTGTTTCGTATAGCATTGCTCAAAACTTGTTTTGTGGTATATTTTCGCAAGGTACAAATTCCCATTGTGTCTCTCGTCTTTTTGGACACACTGCAGAGTATCACGATCCACTGCACGTACTCTCAAGATAGCCATGACTGTTTACAAATGTTCATTTGTCAAATAATAAAAGTGACTTCGCCCTAGCTCTAAAGATGGCAGTAAGAACGGTGATAATCACTTACAATTTTCTGCCTTCTGTGGAGTATACGTTGAACGACCTCCTTTTACCAACGTAAACATTACGGACCTGCCGGGTAAGTAGTTGAAAACAGGAAAGTCATTGCCTGGGGGAAAACTGAAGTCACTTCCATCACTGACTCAGACATGATTTGACGTGGATTTCGCAGTGAGGATGAAAACTTTTCAGTGTCTGTTATTAATCGCGTAAAAAAAAAAGAAAAGAACCCTCAGCCGTGAGTTCCAAAAGGACGAAGGAAGTATCTAATCGATTCCATTGATTGATTCAAAGTGACTTCGAAGGAACTCGCGGTTTGAGGATCTCGGAATGAACTTGAGCTATAGGCACAATTGGCAGAATGCAATTGACTCGAGGTGTCACTGCATCAAGAATACCTTTCGTGCAGTGCACGCTTTACCGGTAGCCGTGGCATGTCTCCATTCCCTTTTGACTCATTTCTTTATTGTTTCTGCCGACGTCCGGCACGACCTGGTTCCATCGGAGCTCACTCACTCAACGACAGAGACAAGAAATATAATAAAATAAAACTGGATTATGAAAATTATTCGGAACGTCGATGTCACTGGGGAAGCGTCATGACAATCGCCTCGCATTCACATAAGTTTCCTCCATAGCCCTATGTGCAATAATCAGCCTGTTGCACTAAGACTTTGCTGTTGAAATAGCGGAGAAACGAGAATTGAAGAGAAATTCCAAAACTTTTCGCTCGGGTCGCTAGAACGGCACTGGCGCTAGAAATTCCTTTACATTTTTTTTTTAAATCCAGGATCGTATTTTTCCAAATGAGGTAAGTTTTGATGGTACATTAAATATATTTTCGATGATGAAGATCTACGACAACTACAGGTAGTCTCGAAATAAACTGAAGCATTTAAACATGACACTCGGAAGTATTTTTTTTTTCTCAAATGGTGACAGTGAAGTGAATAAAAGCAATTTATACGTTCTCGAGCAATTATTTCTCATTCAAATTTTTTTCCCCCCACGTTTGCTCGTAGTGTGAGCATATCGCGTGGTGCTAACTTTTGCCTTTGACAGGAACAAAATTAAAGAGACACTTTCCGACTAAAATATATGTATAATTTTACTACTTACTTAAAATATTTTTTATATACTTAAAATTAATATTTTAAGTAAGTAGTAAAATTATGCATCCACAATATACTTATTGTGACCTGTCTTGCCCTGTCGCGACTGACCAACTCGCGCGGAGCCGCGCGTCTCGCTTCGCCTCGTAGAGCTCGGAAGAAGGATCGGCACATTCCAATCAATCGATTTGTTCGTTTCGATCTTCGATTCCTGCCTTCCGAACCTGCAAGATCGACGTGAGATCGAAAATGATTGGTATCGGCTGAAGATCGAAACAGGATCTATATATAGATAGAATAATGCTTCTCGTTCCTCGATTCATTGACATGCGTGCGTGACGGGGGCGTGCGTGAAGAACATCAAGCTCATGATGTTTGTCTCCTCGCATCATCGTGACGGAAGCGATTAGAGATTTGCTCGGAGTTTATTGCGGAGCGCTTCTATTCCGGCTGGGTACAATGCCATGCATTGTTTCGCCTTCGTGCAAAGCACTGGGACGATTGACGACTGCCCGTTTTCGTGTAGCGGCGATTTCGCCGAATTCCGGATGGGGGTGGGAGCGAATAAGACGTGGCAGCAAAACTCGGAAACTCGAAGGTTTCGGGACGAGTCCACGATAAATCGGTGAGAGGGAGATGACGTCATCAATTGGGTCGATTCCACCCGCTTTCGTCTCTGCTGTCGGGGCTGGAAGAGTGAACAAGAGACGAAAATAATGCACATATGGGTCAGTTGAACATTCGGTTGCTTCATTGCCGAAAAGCGACTTCAGACGAAGAAAAGACGACGGACGAGGGCATCACGTCCGAAATGCTGTAACTTCGTTTCGGCGTTTGCTCGTACATGGGTTTTCACTTGACCTAATTCCAGAGAAATCGAACACACTTGATAAGTGATCGGAAAGAATCAACGTGGGTGGATTGAGAACATTTCGGGAATCAAGTTTCTCTGCTCAGACGATTCGAGGTCATTTGGCTTTTCACTGACTCATCGCTCGGTGAGTGATTAATGGTAGAAAATGTTCGAATGATACGAGGAGCAGAACTGAATGGGGGGGGGGCGACATTTTTGGATTCGTGGAGGAACTGGGTTGTGAAATCGGAGGATATTCTCGCTTTCTGCGCAGGCTTGTTAAAAGTGGCAGTTTTCCCTCATTTTTTCCCTCCTGACTTCTCAATCGACTGGTTCAGTCGTGCATTATCCTTCCCTCGTTCCCAGACCTTTCTCTGGATAGGAAAAGCGTCTCATCCCTGGTAAGTTTTTCCATTCGTCTCGTGTGGACCTTCGGGGGGTGTTGGCTTAGAGCAAGCTTACTGCGATCGTGTTTTCGCAGGTGTAAGTTTACATCGTGCTGGGTCAAGGTGGTGTTCGATCCAGGGGCCCCAGCCCCGAGAGGAAGAAATACGAGTAATAAGATAGGAAGAACGTAAGAAAAAGAGTAAAAAATTTGAAACGCTACGAGTTATTCCGAAAGAAGATCCAATCCACGGAGAATATTTCCTAAGTCTTTCTACTCTGGCCGAGTTCTACGAAGGCCGAGTTGGGCGAAATCCGTCACCACGGAAAGTATTTATTATTATAATATTTTAATTCCTCCATCCTTCCCGCATGAAATCCTTGCGCTTGAATGCACCTCGTTTTCATCCCGTTCCCTTGATCATGTTGTGAAATGTCTATTCATTATCGAGTCATCGATAAAGTTGCAACGTTTGAATTCAGCAAAACGTGGACGCATGGAAATATGCACAAATATTCGAAGTATATTTATATGCCGCAAATACCCAGAACCACCTTAAGTCAAGGCGCCAATCGATAATATGAGAGTGTGGCTTTTGACTTGCGGAAAATAGCCGTATTAGCTGCTATTAAGCTTTATTAATTAAAAAATCTCAGCAAGTTAATAATATGGACAAAAGTGTCCATATTAATACCAGTTTGCAGTATCTACTCTGTCTGGAACATGTACTATCAATACTAATTACAAACGGGTGGCAACCCTAATCGATGGTACCCGTGCAAAGTTTAGACACCATTTACCAAGGTTAACTTCAACAGCTCCACGACCTTGTCGATGAGCTTCGCAGTCTGGCTATGCTTCTACCAGAGCCACTCGATGCTCTTGCAACTCCGCGATTCATTCGCAAGAGTAGCCAGGCCTGTGTATCCTAACGTGTCCATGTTTTTTGGAAACAGAAACAATTCATACCTTAGCTAAGATGAAGCATGTCACAAGAACGCCTGAGGACTAGCCATACTCTCTATCGAGAGGGTCAGCAGGTCATTGAATTACTAGAAAGTGATCGATGAGCTGGTGGCAAAAATTCCGAGAATACGAACGCTAAATCTTTGGACAACCTGCACAAATTCCTCTCCTTTTCTTGCCTAATTAAAAAGTAGTGATTTTCCTTTTTTTTCAAATATAACTTCGATAATCGAAAATGAAGTGAGGGGCAAATCTCCGGAATCCAGAGGTGGCCCAATGTATTTGCCGCAGGGGGCCTCGCATTTTCAATCGACTTGTTATACTTGTCAGAAGCGCGAGAACTTGCCGATTCCATCGGCTTGTTAGTTTTACCACAGAACTGCATTTTCTCTACTTTAAATGCTGGTGCCCATCTGGAAAAGCTGTTTATCGTAGGAAACTCAATAAAAGCAGCCCCATTCGGCTTGGCAGATAATTAATCCTAAGGGCCAGCCGTGGCCATAACGCGTATAAGAAAAATTATGCTATGTGACGCAGAACAGAAAATGGCCCTTGCAGAGCGCGTGTATGTCGAGCATGCAAAATTCACGCATCGTTTTGTGCTTACTCCAAGGGCGGAATACCGCGAGCTTCGATC